TTCTAAAAGGGCTAATTTATTTTCTATGATTGAATATGGGTGACAGTGATGGGACACATACCTTCTTGCCCTTAAGAGGAAAATTTTCACATTACTTAATTGTTGATGATCCAATTTAGAATCATTATTTTATTATCTGAATACTTTCAAGCTTTTGTTTTTTTTTTTTTTTTTTTTTGCATTATCCCTCTTAAACATACTTCTTATTAGGAGCCCTGGTGGCGCAGTGGTTAAAGCTCTCAGCTGATAGCTGAAAGGTTGGCCATTCGAACCCACTAGCTTCTCCATGGGAGAAAGATGTGGCAGTCTGCTTCTGTAAAGATTTGCAGCCATGGAAACCCTATGGAGCAGTTCTCCTTTGTCCTTACAGGGTTGCCATGAGTCAGAATCAACTCGATGGCAATGGGTTTGCTTTTTTTTTGTACTTATTATTTAATATTGAAGTAAACTTTTGTGGTTGAATTGTGGGGAAAACTGTGTAAATTAGAATTAACATGTAAAAATAATAACTCCAATTATACAGTTGCATTTCTTTTCCAGGTGATCGTAATTATTTCTAAATCTACTTTTAAATAGGCATTCAATTGGAGATACCAAAGTTCCCTTTTGTCTTCAGTCCTGTGTAAAACCTTTGAAATATGCCATTGCTGTTAATGATCTTGGAACAGAATATGTGCATCGATATGTTGGAAAAGAGCCCAGTGGATTAAGATTCAACAAACTGTTTTTAAACGAAGATGGTAAGAATTACATAAGAATTGGTTGGAAAAAGAAATGTCTCATTTTCTTACGTAAATCTAAGTATTTGTTTTTTCTATATTGAAGAAAATTAAAAGCTTTTAATGCTTTTTTTAATTGGCCATTGGCTTTCTGTGAAATCTGTAGAGACAATTTAATCACTTTCTTTTAAAGATTATTATTTTAGTTGTCTTATACCACTGGGAAGTGGGCTGGTGAAAAGATGAGGGCAGAGAGAGTTTCACTTTACGACTACCTATAGGTCCCTGAAGAAGCCCTGGTGGCGAGTGGTTAAGCACTTGGCCGCTAACCAAAAAGGTCGGTGGTTGGAACCCACCAGCCACTCTGCAGGAGAAAAATGTAACAATCTGCTTCTTTAAAGATTTACAGCCTTGGAAACCCTATGGGGCAGTTCTAAGTTTACTCTGTCCTATAGAGTCACTATGAGTTGGAATTGGCTTGATGGCAATGGGTTTGGGTTTTTTGGTTTGGATAGGTCTCCGGGTGGTACAAATGGTTTTTGCTCGACTCCTAAATAGGTTCTCTGCTCTACAGTCTTGGTTTTAGGCTAACCCCAGCAGAAACCGTTTGTATATCTTTTTTTATATTTAAAATCCGGAAGGTAGATCTATGATGAAACTGTATACACTTTGTGGAGCACTGGTGGCACAGTGGTTAAGAGCTTGGCTGCTAACCAAAAGGTGGGCATTTCAAGTCCACCAGCTGCTCCTTGGAAACTCTTTGTGGAGGCACTTCTACTCTGTCCTGTAGAGTCGTTATGAGTCGGAATCGACTCGGCGGCATTGGGTTTGGTTTGGTTTATATATTTGGTATGCACGTGTGTTTATATCTAACATTACAACATTTTTCTTAAATGACTGTATTCATGTTGCCCTAGTTTTATAAGATTGTGATGATAAATTAATATGAATATAATGAATTAATAAAGGAATTATAGCAGTTATTCTTTTACTATCAGTAATTTTAAAATGCTTTCTAGCATAAAAAGTTTTGATCCTGTGGTGAAGAGTTAGCTGATGTTTTTTACCGTTGTAGATGAAGGAATAAGTTACTTTATGGAGATAACCAATTTGGGCAGCACTGACTACTAGTGAAGGCTTCTTTTTCTACCTTATAGTGATTAAGTCAGTCATTAAATATTTATGTAGTACCGTCCCTCTACCCCAACCTCACTTATTGTTAGCAGCTATGGAGGGTGCAAGTCCTTGGTTCTTTGAGTAGCTTGACTAGTTAGTACTTCAGAATACAAACCAATTATATGCCTCTTATACTTAGAGAAGAAGTCCTGACACAGTGGTTAGGTGCTTAGCTGTTAACCTAAAGGTCAGCAATTTGAACCCACCAGCGTTTCTGTAGGAGAAAAGACCTAGCAATCAGCTCCTGTAAAGCTTTCAGCCTAGGAAACCCTGAGGGGCACTCCTACTCTGTCCTGTAGGGTCACTATGAGTTGGAATCAACTTGACAGCACCCAGTAACAACAATACTTGGAAAAAGACCCCTGGTGGTATAATGGTTAAGTGCTAGGCTGCTAACCAAAAAAGTTGGTGGTTCTAACCCACCAGCGGGCTCCATGGGAGAAAAGACCTGCAGTCTGCTCCTGTGAAGATTACAGCCTAGGAAACCTCATGGGGCAGTTCTACTCTGTCCTGTAGGGTCGCTGTAAGTCAGAATCAATTCGACACACAGTAACAGCAACAGATACTTGGAAAGAGAAGACAAACTTTAGCATTATATACTGCTAATTATATTATCTTAGCAAGTATGTAATTGGCAGATGCCAAAATGTGTATGATGTTATATGGTTAGAGCATTTGAGAAAGAAGGAGTTGAATTAATCTACATAAAGAAGGTAATACTCAATTATATAGAAAGGATGAAGTTTTAGTGGTTGGGAGAAATGTGAGTGGGCACTCCAGGATTATACCATGTATAGAATATATTGCAAATGTGTATGTAATGTGGGGTAATTAGGTTTCCTTAATTCTTTAATTTTTATATGGCACTATAAAATTCCAGGATGATGACTAAGATATAAATATCCAAATTAAACTGAACATATTTTTTAGTTCTTTAGCATATACGTTAGTGAACTTCGCAAAAATTATAAACCACATCTCTGTAAGGTTCCTATGCTTATTATTTCAAAAAGCCTTTTCTAATATAATGTGAAAGCACTCTGCATGTTTTATTGCCTTGGGGAAAATTAAAAACTTGTTAAAATTGATGAGTTTTGTGTATTCTAATTAAAAACATGTCCATGAATTTCAGATGTTATCCATCTCCATTTTGTTAGTATACCAAGCTAATATCTCATTATTTCAAATGGTAGCCTTTATTAATTAGCTGTGCAAAGTTAAGTGCTATTGATGCTGTTCATAAATATTTTTTAATTAAGTAAAGATTCTAAATTGAATACTTCAACTCTCTCCTGCTACCCACGGCAGATGCAGGAAACAAGCAGATCTCATAGTCATAGATCTTAGACAAGTTTACTACTGCAGTAAGGCTGGTGTTAATATTATAATAACTCTGTTATATTACCAAAATGTTCAGATGTCTGGCTTTTGAGCCAGAGGTGGAGTGAACGTTGCTTACATGTGAAAATGTCATGAAATGAGTGAATGCTTTACATGTTCTTTGAAAGGTCTTTTTGAATGTAGCTTATGCAGTATTTGCTGAATATTTATGATTTTATATAAATGGAATCATACAATATCTGTTCTTTTGTAACAGGCTTTATTTAACTTAGCATAATGTTTTTAAGGTTCATCCATATTGTAGCATGTATCAGTACGTCATTCCTTTTTATTGCCAAATGTTATTCTGTTATATGGCTAATACCACATTTTTTTGATCCATTCATCAATTAATGGATGTTTGGGTTATTTCCACTTTGGAGCTGTTATGAATAATGCTGGTAGGAACATTTGTGTACAAGTTTTTATGTGAACATATGCTTTTCATTTCTCTTGGGTATATACCTAGGAGCAGAATTGCTG